TCTCGGTCCCCCAGGACGTGCAGGCTCTGCCTTCCAGGAGGAACCGAGGCTCTCCCGAGCCTGCTGCTGTGGGAGCAGGGGGGCCTTGCTGCCCCTTGCCCACTGGTGTAGAGCGGGATGGGGGATGTGGCCAAACTAACGTGAGCTGGCCAAAAAGTAGGCCCAGGCGACATTCCCTCGCCGAGGTGCTTCGTTGCCCCCTCGAGCACGCGAAGCCCCCCCTCTTCCCCCAGCACAGCACAGATGTTGGTGCTCTGAACTCATTCCCTTTACTTTTCAGTGTTTCCATTGCCACGGCAATGGAAAAGGCCCAGGCAAAGTTTCTGATAGTTCTGGGAGTATCATACAAAAGACCGACAGTGCTAGGAGTTTGTTCCTCTTGACAAACACTTTCCACACGCACCATCTTCCTGATGCGGCCGGTGAGTCCGGTTGGTCTAAGACGGGGATGGCTGGGACCGTGAAAAAAATCTGATCTGCTGTATCCTGCTGGTGCTCTGATTCTTGGAGAAAGCCCAATCTTGCTAAACTAACTGGGGTTGAACCTTCAAGTTTTGTGAGGCTTTTAGCAGGCTTGAAAGCAAGAGATGGTGCATTCTGGTGCCGTGCTTCTGTCTGACTCTAAACGGATTATGACCTCCTCCGTTTAGGCAGACAGTGGATTAAATAACACTTGTATGGAAAAGAGTTGCAGTAGGGGTGGAATCAGCAGCATGTGCTTTGGAAAAAAGAATTTGCGTCCTTTTTTTTTTTTTTTTCCTTGTATGAAGTGTAAAGATACCCTAAGTCAAAACTTGCAACATTTTTTTTTTAATTTTCCACGTTGTTGGGAAAAGAGAACAGAACCTAAAATACATTCTGATTAAGAAAAAATGTTTGAGCTTTCTGGTTTTTCCTTTTTTTCTTTTGTTGTTTCATTTTTTTTGTTTTAATTTTTGCTTGAAATGTTAGGAAACTTTAATGAAAATCTACCTTAAAAATAGTATGTTTAGCCCATTCGAACTGCAGCCTATGAAACACCTATGGTCTTAATTGTGTGAAACTTTTGGAATGCTGCAAACATGAAAGGCATGTGAGGGAAAGGCAGAGGAGCAGCAGCAGAGACTCTCCATGGGTCAGGAGCTATGCAGTTATAACACTTGGCCAACAGTGGTATTTCTCAAGCTCCCTTGAAAGCTCACACAGTGGCACAACTGCGTTCCAGCTGTTAAAGCTTCTTTTCTGTATCACGGTTTCAAACAGTTGGGCAAGGGCACAGCTGTGGATCAGCAGCTGATAAAGCCTGGGAGCAAGGCTTGAGGTTCTCTTGGATGGACACTTTGCACTCAGAACAGGAAAGGACAGATATCACCACTAACAAAATCCACTATTCTGTCAGCTCTTTTGTGTCTCATCGTGGATTCTGCTAGATTTCTCTCTAGCAGAGTGTGAATTTCAGAGTGTTTATTCAGCATGGACTAAGAAAAAATATGTGGATGCTCTATGTCTCAGCTTTCCGATTTTGCCACTGTTGAACTGAAGCTGGTTTGAATTTCAGAGTAGTTGTAAAGCACTTCTTCAGAATCTGAACAGACAGTAACATTGTCCTCATCCACTGGAACAGTGCAATTAGAGCACAAGTGATCTCTTGCTGCAGTGTGAAAACATTTGGAAGTATTTTACCAAGCCTTAGGGGCAGTGCTGTTTTATCCTTCCTGTAATACAAATGCTTTACCACTCAGAATGTACACATTACCAAGAGGCTTAATGAAAGTCCCCGAGGATGCCCAAACCCAGAGCATTCTGAGTTTCTGACTTGTGGAGGGCAGGGTTGAGAACTCCATCTTGCAGCTGGGTATTGGTGGAGATAGGGAAAACAGAAATTTGCTGCAGTGTGGCGTTGATTTCAATGGAGTAAGTAGACACCAAAGTCACGTTGGCACGATTGTGGCCATATAGCTGTGAGCCTGTTAAATTGCTTGCAGTGCGAAGCATGGGAACCTCAAGCCGCATATCCCTGTGCTTCCTTATGCTTAGGGCTGAGCTGAACATGGCTGAAGAATGTGAAGGCTCTGAGCGTCTAATTTTGCTTCTAACAAGTATAGCTTCCACAGCAGAGCACAAATTGATGTCATTGCATGAACTTCAGCAGGAAGGTCAAGCCCATATTTTCCATACTACAGATGTCAGCAAATCTGACTTCCATTCCAAACCTAAGAGCCGCTGAGCTCCCTTTACCATTAGTTACTCAGAAACAGGGTGAATGCCCCTGTATGGTTTCCTAGGGCCACTGCTGCCTGAGATTGCTGTCTGTGCAGTAATGACTGCCTGCAACGCTTTCCTGTGAGGGTGACAATGAAATACACCCAAGCTGTGTTCCACTTTGGCAAACCACATGTGTAGTCAGTTAGCCCCAAATAACCTGCAACTCCGTTTTGCTTTCACCTCATGTTAAACGGTGCTCCTCATGCTGAGTGGGATCTCGCAGTTGGTGCAGGGACTTAGCGTAGGCATCTTTGCATACCCAGTGGCGCTGTTATTTAATGTTGCAATGTGTTGTTTCTTTTCTGTCCCTCTTCTCCTGAAGCCCTCCTTTACCTCACAGCCGTGCTGACCTGTTTGACCTGAGCAAAGACCAAGAGCTGAACCTTGCCTACATTTCCTCTGTTCCGCATGGTGGCATTGAACAAGTTCGAATTCACTGGTTACTGGAATTAGTTGCTCTTAGGTAAGCAAACACCTCAAGTCAAAGTCTGGGAAAACGTGACACATTTAAAGGCCCAGCAGATGCTCACTTTGATATTTGTTTTGTCTAATTGCAAGCTGGGCATATCTGTGCTTCCTTGGAATTCAGTTATGTTCCAATGGATGGGAATTATTTTGAGGTTTTATGAGACTGAGAAAGAGGGAGCTTCTGTTGAGAAGCTGAGGGACTAGAAAGGTGGCTTACTTTTTGGTCCTTTAATTTAGGAGACATGATACAGCAAAAAAAGTCCCATGAAGATTGATACAAGCCTGATTTACTGAGGGGTCCAAATGAAAACTACCACTGTTTTACTGTTATTTCTGTCTTCCTTCTACCTAACTTGGAAGTTACTTTTTGCATCCTGAACCCACCTGTGCACTCACAGGTAGTGACAACTAAGGTGGTGAATTGGTGTAATACCAGTTAATACCCTCTTCCAAAAGGACTCACATAAAAATAGCATATCTAGTTCTAAGGAAATACGTGTCAGATTTGGGAGGACAGTGTTGGAATTCGTTGCCTTTCAAGTCCCATTTTAGCTCAGTTTAAATGCACTCATGCCAATATACCCATGGAAATAACCAAATACAGATGCCTAGAGTAGGAGTGATTGGTCTGTGAGGGAAGACAAAACATAAAACCCCATCAAAAATTTTAATAGCTCTTAAAGTTTTTTGCCTGGCTCAGACTGTTACTGAGCTGAGCATGTTTAAAATCCACATTACTGTTGCGTGTGCTATCCCAGATGCAGGACGATGGGAAGTTATCATTATTGGGAAGAAACAAGGGGAAGGAGAGCTCCGTCTGTGGAAATGGCACGTGAGCAAAAGAGCAGCATGTGTGCATTAGGAACAGAAGTTTTCTTCCTTGGTATTAAGGTGTGCTTGCTTATATAGATTTTTGGGAAGGTGATGAGAAGCCCTGCACACAGATAAGTATTGTATCTGTAGCCTAGAATGGCCTCTGTATGTTAGTCCATCTGTGAATACAGCAGGTAACAGAGCTCCTCGCTCTCATCTTTCCCTGTGGAAGTTTCCAGGGAACACCCTTTCCCCTGCTGTGTTTCCCTCTCTTATTGGACTGTGGGATTTGTACTCTTGCAGTGATCCAGTGGCAAGGACAAATACCACTGCTCACTGCTGCTGGGGTCCTTGTCTTAGATCTCAGAAGTTTCTCCTGAGAGATGGCTTGGATCTTTCAGGTTTCTGTAACCATCTGACTTAGGAAAAATCTGTGAGTACCTGTGAAAAGAAAGTGGCCACATTTACAGTCGGAGCTCAAAATTGCTCCTGACGGCCTGTCTTAGCTGTGCCGTGTGTTGAATTGGGCTTTCCAAATGCGGGAAAGGAATGCATCTGTCATGGACTCTGCTCAGCCTTTTTAGGGATTGAGGCACTGAGTCTTTCAAATCCTTGACACAGTTAATATCCTAGGAGCATGGAAACTTAGCAGTCAATCAGGAAGTCCCCAACAAAGCTGTAGTGCCTCAAGGGTAGGATTCTAACCCACTATCCTCGATATTTAGCCCAGCCTTGATATGTGGTAATTAGAAACTTTGCTACTGTTTTAAGAACCAGGCTTAAAACTCTTCATTTTGCAAAAAAAAATGTGCATTTGTCAAAGACAAGGAGACATTTGAGTTGTGGAAGTACAACCAGTGGTCTGAGCGTCAGCAGTGATTTGGAAAGGGTGAGAGCATGGAGCATGCAGACAAACCTTGGAATGGAAAAAAGCAACAGGCAGGAATGCAAGTCTGAGAAGGAGAAATTCAGTCCTGACGCCGAATTCTGCGCATGTGCAGTTTTCTTCTTGGACCGGTGGTTTCCAGAAGGATGTAAAGAAGTTTTGGGTGAGAAACCTCCAACAAGCAGAACTGTCTTATGTCATGGGGTCAGTGAGCAGAGAAGACTTCATGGAATGTGAAAATGGGCACTTGACTCAAGAGGAACACTTAGAGAAAACAGAGGACCAGGAGGTACCACTTCTGTGGAATCCTAGCAGATAGAGGCTTTGCTTTTCCTCACAGTTGTGCCATCATCAAAAAGGTTTCATAAATGTTTCTCCCAGGAAGCAGATGTGCTCAAATAAAAGACTGTCACCTTCCCCTTCTTGCTTCTCTAGTGGTCTTTCTCATTATGTCTTCTAATCCCCGAATGCCAAGTGCATCCCTTTATTTTAACCATTTTCTAGTACAAGAAACCCACCTCCTTAACTTTTTCCTTATTCTGAGTTAGCTCGTCGTTTCACCGCCTGTGAAAGGATACAAGGCAAACTATTTTCAAAGAACTGCTAGTTTTATTTTCCAGCCAAAAGCACATGTTTGTCTCTTGGTCTTGTGACATAGAATTATTGATGATTATTGGGGAACCCAAGGTGGACTGGACAGTTCCCAGGTTGTTAGTTACCAGTGCCAATAAACAGAGCTATTTTGACACCTAAACCACACTTTCTTGCCATACTGCACTAGTCAACAGGACAGTTTGAGCTGAAGATTCCCAACTCTTTGCCCAGCTCCAAGGGACACACAGAGTCCACGAGTTAGGAAACCTTTTCCATTCTTACGCAGCAGTACTAAAATCTGTTTGATACATGGTACATGATAAATCACAAGGCATCACAGTGAACAAAAATACAGTCATTCTATATGAAGCATATAACATTTCCTAAAAGGCATATAACAATCTTTATTTCAACAGTATTAGTATTAACATAGTTGGAATTACAAGACCATCCCCAACCCCTCTCCAAGTCACCATACTTAATCTCTGGTAGATGAGGAGAGAAGAGAATCAGCAGTTTTTGTTAATTTTCAATCTTCATGTCCTTAACCTTGGTATAACACAGTATAGCAAACATAAATGTACTAGAAAAAGGTTTACTTTTTTAGTTAACTTTTACATACTCCTTAGAAATAATTCACAGTCTCCCAGCATGCCTACAGCACAGCACTGAAATTGTTTCCCTGCTGTGTTTGACATTGTCCAACACAGCTGGATTGTGAGCCAGTTCTGCCAGTAAAACCAAACCAGAAAATTGTTCTTATGGTTTCTTCTGATCAGTAGTTTCTTTCTTTGTAGTAAAAGTCCTAAAGCTTACTGTCTCTTATGTGTAGCCAAGTTTCTTAACTTAGGTATCCTTTGGTATCATTCCTACAATAAATATGATGAAAAAGAGAATTCTGACTCAATTTTCTCAGCCTCTCTTCATTTTTCTCTGAAGACTGTTGCAAGGATGCATCCTCCATTAGAATCTCTTTTTTTCTCTTTTAAAATGAGATTAATCTAGAGTTAAGGGTATTTTTTGCATTTTTTTCTTTATGTTCTGGATTGGTAGATTGATCCATAAAGCTAAAAAATGTCTGGATTGCTAGGATGTTTTATTTGACTTCCAAGGGCAGCTTGTTTTGGCATAGCAGCCTAAGAGTGTCTGTGTGGTATTAACTCCTCATGCTTGCTGCATGAGGAGTTAAGGACCTTAAAAGAGGTATTTCCTGATCAAAGAATGGTTACACAGACAAAAAGCAATATTTTCTCCTTGGGCTCTGCTCATTTCCTTTTAGAACAGAAAAGCTAGGCATACCAAGTCAGCTATTCAAATAATAATGTCAGGGAATTGGTTTGTGACAGGAAAATACTGCCAATTTTCGATCCTTTAATCTCGAGACATTTCTGACAGGTTTTACCACTCTGGCCTTATTAACAGTGTGCAGCTGATACGCTTTTGTAACGAGTTCATGAAAGTGTCAGTATTGAATCAACTAATACTGTGCTATTCTTAATCCTTGTGAAGACATTTTTTTGGGGGAGGGGGAGTTTATGTTTTATCTTTTGGTAATGCACTACTTTTCCTTTAACAAAATATTTGTTCTTGAGAGCCAGACAGGGCCTGGGGCACCTGGAGAGCCTCAGTTTGAGTGTTCTTTCTTTCGGAGACCTAAAAAGTTGAAACAAGCAAGTCACATGTTGTGTTGACCTGACTTCTGTTTGTTGTTTTTTTTAATGTCACAGCAAAGAAATGGCTTCTGCCTACATGGGAGCTCTGTTTCTAGAGCTTCTATGTGGACTCTGTTTCTAGAGTCTGCTAACTGTTCAAGGCACAGCTCTGATACAATTTCCTTCTGTGCTTGGTGCTGTATGAACCAGCCACGATAAATGCGAGAGACAGAGCAGCTTTGCTACCTTTTGTGCAGGTAATTAATTATAAACTTGAGCAGAGGATATTCTGCCTATGCCATGAGCCAGAACACTGAGTACTAACTTTGTTAAAATCAAAATCCAAAACTATGCTTATTTGTAAAAAAAAAAAGAATATGCATATATAACAACACAAGTGACACTGGGAGTATCATATGACATATAAAGCACAATGAACAGCAGTTAATGTAGATTATTACAGAAACTGACTAGACCTGGAAAACATGGTCTAGTGGACCTCAAATCCAAGATTAATACGATAGGAGAAAGAAAACCAAAGCAAACAAAACCCCACCACATCTGTAGTATGTACAAACAGTGGTGGAATTTTTCCAACATACGAGGACCACAAGTTACAAAGCATTGCTCCCTTTACTTGGGCCAAGTATGTTACTTGTAATACTTAGTTAGCATTGCATCAGAGAAGACCAGTCAGGTAGTTCTGACTGACCTATCAATCCCCTTGTAGGCAACTCACAGATTTACCTTCCCACCCTACTCTATTTGCTCCTGTTTTTCTTTGAACCCAGGCAGGCATTTGTAGGAAGAAGGTGATGTACTGCATTACGGTTCTGAGGTTTTTGTGTTGGGTGGTCCTTATGTATCCCTGAATTGGAGTTGCATCTGCCTACCGGAAGCAACTTATTTTTACAGGATGGTGGTACAGCTACGTGGGTAGTTGTGTGACTGGCAGGTAATGCCATTTGCTTTTCCTAATCCAGTTTATCTTCTCTTACTAGTTACAAAATCTTGCATCGGTCATGTTTCTTCTGACATCATTAGGGATATCACTGCCTTCAGTAACTAATTATGACAGATTTAAGCCAATAAAACATGTGACTCCAGCAGCAATTTTTGGAAATTTTGAGAGGAACCTGTGATGAATCATGATTTCTTCTCCTGTGGCAGGTTATGTTATCGAACCTGTGTAATTGAGGAGGAGAGGCATGCTACATTCCACAGTATTTTATACATTTTATTTGTGTGCAAAGAGTGGGAGTTGTTTAGGAGCACACCTGGAATGATGGAAGGGGCAGGGCCTTGCAAGCCAGAATTTAAACCATTATGTGTCCAGGATGCTGGATTGATGCATTTTCATGGGAATGGCTTAGCCCTCTTATTAACACAAACCAGTCATTAACCCTGGGAGATCCAGGTGACACTGGGCTGACCATGAGCACAACAGTTCCATGACATGCATGTTGGGTCAAAAATGATCATGGTACGAGGGACAAGCCAATCCCAAACTGCCTTACTGCACATCACCTGCATTTTGAAGTGAAGGTGCAGGTGATAATCTGACCTGTTCCATGCTTGTCCTGGACTGCATCCTCGGTGGCTGTTCTACGTGGCATCTGACAAATAGTGGAGCTCTTCAGGGGAGAATGGCTTGTACGTAGCCAATAGTGTGTCTGATAATTTACCTGTTGCAAATTGCCCCACTGCATCTGTTGCTTTTGTGGTGAATTGTCAAGGAAGACACAGGGTTAAACTGAGCAGTCTGCTGGAAGCTTTTGGTCTTTTGCAAACAGCACAGCATTATGTATACTGTAGAACAGCATTTCCTGCATGCTTCCAAAATCTCTTCCAAAGTAACCTCCTCTTTTCAGAGAGTCTATCACTGAGGGATTGCAGCAAGCCAGGAGAACGGAAATGTTTAAGTTCTTATAGTCTTTCAGGATTTCCTTTAGAGTATTAACTCCAGTGCTGTCCAAAAATGAGATGGATGAGCAATCTACAACAAGGGTTTGGAAATCAATTTGCTTAGGAACTAGTTGCAGAGTGGTTTCTCCAATGCCCAGTCCGTTAGCAGTTCTGTGATCTCCCTTTTGCAGATGCTGCTTTTCCTTCTTCTCACATTTCTTCCTTCTAGCAGCTTCTAGGTTAGGATCTAAGTTGGTCAGTCTGTACAGAGACTTTAGGAAGTAGTTTTTATTTGCATAGTAAAGTGGAGCCTCAAAACGAAATATTTTGACCTTTGGAACAGCAGAGAGATTTTCATATTCGAAGTCATCCTCATAAAAGCCTGTGTCTTGGATCTGACCAAGCAGGGCTGTCCGTGGCCGCTGTGTCCGAACAACAATGCATAACATGGAGAAAACAATGCCAACCAACAACCCTATTTCTGTGCTGACCAAGGCAGAGGCAGACATGGTAATGACCCAAACAAGTGTGTCCACTTTATTCACGCGGTACCGTGCTGGCACATCTCTGAACTTCCTCAGGGCTCCTCGGAGGCTGACAATAATGATACAGGCCAGGACACACTTCTGCAAGGAGTAGAAGAGAGGTGCCAGGAAGAGCAGCACCAGCAGAACCACCATTGCACTAATTACTCCAGAGACTTGAGTCTGGCAGCCTGTAGACGTTTTGACGAGGGTTTTTGCCAGAGCTGCGCTGGTTGCGAAAGAGTGGAAGAAAGAAGGAATGATGTTGCAGAACCCCACAGCAAACATCTCCTGGTTGGCTCGGATGGTGTAAGCATATTTCTTTGCAAACATTTCGGAAAGGGATACAGTGAAGACAAAACTGACCAGGGCAAGAGGCAAAGCATCTACAGCGACTCGGAGCATTAAGTTGAACTGTGGCACCTCTGGAGGAATAAATCCTGTTGGAATAGCTCCAGAAACACTGGATGCATAGACTTCATTTAACTTCCCGTAGTGTGACACCAGTGTTGCCACAACAATAACTACCAGCTCTGTGGGAAGAGGAAATTTCAGTTTATGCTTATACCGATCTCCCAGTTCCTTCGCAGTGACCAGCACCACGATACAAATGGCACTTGTGATGACATCACAAAGGTTGGCCTGAGAAATGTTCCGGAAAATGTTAATCCAGGTAATAACAAGCATCCCGTGCCCTTGGCTGCGTGGAATTTTTATTCCAATCAGATATTTCACTTGAGCTGTTAAAATGGTTAAGGAAGCACCGGTTGCAAAGCCGTCTAGTACTGACTCAGATAGGTACATAGATACAAAACCCAGACGAAAGATCCCCATTAGAACCTGAGGAAACACAGAAAAAGAAAAAAAAATAGGTGAGCTATAACTTTTGCTGCAAATAATTAAGCACAGATGGAAGAGAACTAGCTGGAGGCTGATAGCATTTGGCTATTTCAGTCTTAAAACAGGAATTATCCTTTGTTGTTTCCAGTCTGCTTTTGAAACGTGATTCCCTTTACTATTGTGGGACCCTACAAACCCAGGAGGTGAATGAGGAGTTTGAGACAGGGTCAATCAAACACTGATCTGAGGTGACTCCACTGAAGTGGCTTGTCTAAATTTTATTTCTCATGCAAAAGAGTAGTGGATCCAAAATGCTTCTGTTATACCAAAGCAAATTTTCTCTTTTTCTGTCTCAAAGTGAATAAAGTTAAAATGTACAGCCTTTGCGATGTGAACAGAATTTGAATGACAAGAGGTAAGATCTCTACTTTAGGTGTTGTATTAAATAGCTTTTAATTTTAGGCTGGTGAACAGAAGGGAAGGTGGAGCACAGAGAGCCTTTGTGGCATGCATAAGGTCGGAAGTGACAGAAGCGCTCACAGACTTTCCCATATCTCAGGATACTGTCCCTAACTAATTCCTTCTCCTTCCTTAGAAGCCTTTGAAAATACAGCTTCACAACGGCATTTTTTTTGCTCATAAATATGATCTGAAATTTCTTAGTAAACAGGATAATAGCTAGTTCTTTCTTAATTCATATATATATGTATATAAACAATTAATAGGTTAAGTGTGTTCCTGATGATTCCTTCTGTGTTCTCTTAATATCCCTGTGAGGGGCAGCATGTTCGCAAGTCTCAAGGAGTCCAGCATAGCCACTGTCTGAAAAGCAGGCTAGTCAATCTATTTCTCCTCTTGTCCTTTCTGCTTTTGAATTATCTTTGGACAGCAGTTTGGTAGAATGTAGCACCCCCTAGCAAAACACTGAGTCGCACATTCTGAACCTGTAGAATGAGTATGTCTGCACCTTTATTAAAAAAGAAACAGAATTACTTCCTCATTGTTGAAGTACACAGTTACCTGGGAATTTCCCTCATGGTAAGATCTGTAGTGGGAGTCCTGGTCCCATGAAAGCAACGAGGCTGAGAAGCAGTAGAATATCAAAACAGTGTTAGTGGTCTTGCAGAAGACTCTTGTTTTATTTGTGCTTGCTAGCAGCTAAGAAAAAACACCTGTCTCATGCTTCCTCTGAGTTGCCTACACATAGGCTTCCTGGAGAAAACAGTCCAAGGTACACCTACATTCAAGTGAACTGATACTCTTATCTCTCACTGAAAGAGGGTCAAGCCAAAGCTTAGGTCATACAAAGAAGCTTTAGGAACCTCGTACCTTGCCTCTGGATGGCAGCAGCCACTTACCTGATACACTCCAGCTACAAATGTCAAGGCTGTAGCGATGCCAATAGCGTAGCATTCTTTCCCGCACTCAGCATTTATCCCCGCAATTGTAAGGTTGAAGGCAGTTTTGTTGGACAGACTGTCATTCTGCAGAGAGCCATCACCCAAGGCTGGTGGGGCATCATCATTCAAGTCAAACCCAGCCAAGAGAAGTTCCCGGTCCACAACTTGTCCTACCATTAAGCTTATCAAGCTGAAAATGCCAACGGATACGTGACAGGATGTGCCCATTAAGAAATAGATGATGTTGGCGAAGAACGATGTGTAAAGACTGTAAATGGGCTTCAGACCAGCCAGCAGTGAGTATGCAATTGCTTGAGGCACCAAAATGATCCCAATCACTAACCCAGACATAATATCCCCCCAAATGTACTCTTTGCACCGGTACTTGGGAAGCCATCGTAAAACAGGAAAGAAATCCATAACAAAGTTCTTCAGTTTCTGTGGGGTACAGGAGCAGTTCTTTCTCAGCTTAGCTAGCATGACTTCTTTCCTGTTAATCTTCACATGTGTCTTTCTTTCCATGATAAAGAAGGAAGAGGTGCTGTTTTCCATGCTGGTAGCCTCAGGTTGTCTTTCCATTGTCTCAGTTTACTTCAATTATGTGTTCCTGCCATGTGAAGAAAACATTTGTTAGGTTGGAATTCATGAAGTTTTTTTTTTAGCACAAATGCTTTAATGCTAAAAGTTTGTCACCTGACTTTGCTTCTAAGGAAGCATCATCCCAAGAAGCACACTATCATAGGGCTACAGTGGCATGTAAGACTAATCTGTAGATTGAGCCCTTTCTTGGAGATATTAAAGAGTACATTCAATTTAATCCAGTTTGTTTTACTGAGGAAAAATGGGTTTAAATTAGTAATTTCTTAGTTTAACAAAGATTTCCATTATCTCTTTCAAATGTTCCGTCATAAAGATCTCGGTGAACAGAGGTAGCACTTTATGGTGTGAAATAAACGTGCTAGTGAGGTAGGTTATAGTCTTTCTAATAGTGAGTGCACCTTGTAGTCACTGATTTGTAACTCGCATGTGGTATTATTGATCTGTTACTGCAGCTGTTGTCAGCACACAGGAGAAAAATGTTGCCAGTAGAACCTGTAAAGCAGAGTTTTTGGGAGAGCAACAGTTTAGTCTTGTGCAAAAATTTGTACACAAGTCATTGATGGACTCTTTGTAGTTGCTACTTAACACCAGCTTGTTGAACTGTAGATTGGTTCCAAGTGCAGTTTCTATTACTCATCATCTCCTCACAAATATCACTTTGGCAACATATGGACCATGCATCATGATGGAATCTGTTACCTTTTTGTTACCAAGTGCTGCATGTTAGTGTTTTCAGGTTTAAACACACAGTTACCCTGGCTTTGCTCTCTGGAAATAAGTTGTAACAAATAATTCTGTGTACAGCAGAACAAGAAGGGCAGTGTTTCCTGTAGTTCTCCTGCATGTTAGTTTTGTAATACACAGTGACGGGAAATATCTGCATTTCCCAGATGGAGGTACTTTTGGTGTCTCTTGCCTCAATGGACAGAACTCTTTTCTCTAAACTCAACCTCTGCATGTTTATTCAATTGTCAAATTAGGTTGAAATTAGCTTAGTGCATCATAAATAATTTTGGGGCTAGGTTGGGGACATGACTGAGAGGCAGAAGATGCAAGTGCTCTAACTTGCACAGCTAAACAAGTAAAAATAGGAGCAGAGGAATATGTCAAACAGACTATGCCAGGTGTTAAATCTTATCCTCTGGTTTGCAGTGGAAAGAAAGAAGCATCTTCCAAGAGTGGATGACCATATATGAGTAGTGAGATAAGGAGTGGCTCATTGACCTAGATGCAGATTGTATGTGCTAGTACAACAGTATGCAGAATCTCTATTAAAGCAGACCTTCTCCAAGCCCAACCTCTCCCAATGTCTTAAACAGACAGGATCTCTGCAGCAGAGCTTTTTTGGTGCCAAGAGTGACATTGCAATAATGTCAAAGCTTGTCTTCACTTACAAGGGAAAGATGTTTCTTTCCTCTTTCAGTGTCTAGAGACAGAAGCCATATCCATCAGTTTCCTAAAACTTGAAGTACACTCAGTGGCACGGTACTCTGTTGGTATAGTCTAATGACTTTTACAGTTAATAGTAAGTTTAGACTCTAGTGACAGAAGGCATCATTCTCTGTGTAAATTTCATATGTTTTTGTTGTTGTTAAGAAGAGTATTTTGATTTGTTAATGTTTGGTATCACCCAGTTAAAGTGTAGAATTCAAAGGTGAGAAAAAGCAAAGGGGTTTATGAGTCCAACTGGAAGGGTAATTCATAAGCAAAAGAATAGACTGCCAACAGCCTGTAAGCTTTTGATCTTGAGCAGTCCAAAAAGAGAGTGGGGTATTAGAAAGCCTTTTGTCTATCCTACTTATAAATTAAAAATAACAGGAAGATAATTATCTATAACTAGTGCAGAAATCTTAAACAAGTTCCCAGGTGTTATTGTAAATGATACAGCATGATTTATGAGGCCATGCAAAATTTAATCACAACTTGAAGCAGGGTGTTTAGGTGTTAGAGATAGGTGATTTATAATTCAGTAAAAGGCAGAAAATTTAGAATTCAGTAAAACTCTCTTGTTAGAGACCCATGGACTGAGTGTCCAAGTTGAAAAGTAGTTTAGATATGTTTTGAAAAAACAGTAGATTTCTGTCCATCCCAATTACATGAAACCATTTTTAGCTGCTGTTGTATACATTTCTTTGTAAGTAAGGTTTATTTCCATCATGAGGGAACATTAATTGCAATTTAGTGTAATTATTTAGAAAGATCAAAATCTATATTTTATCAATTCCAAGTTTACTTGGAATTACATTGGGGTCTACCTAATGTACTGCATGGTTATGCTAGGACATATCCTAGCATATTCCTGTCCTGCCTGGACAGGAAATAGATTGGATCTAGTCTTCGTTAGAATGCAAATGTGAGAGAAAAGATAAAAGAAGTTACAACAGCAAAAGAAGAACTTAGGAGCATATGAATAAAACTTACCAAATACAGAATGCTAGCAAGCGTGATAAAGACACTAATTTTTAAGATGCAAAACCCCCCGTACTTCCTGTCTTACCTAAATTAGTTTGGAGAATGAGAGGCTTGTGTGTGAGGACAGCAAGTCCTTATTCAAATGCCATTCACTTCTTACAGCCAAGTGAAGTCAGAGAGCCAAGAAATAAGTACTGTGCCCTTCCTTGCTCTACAAACTTAAAAGCTAGTGGGCAGTTCAATATCCAATGAGTGCTTTTTATAGGCTACATAAAAAAGATTGCATCAGCTTCTTTTCACTAGGCTCGCATATTTAATTGTACAGTTTCTGTCTGCCTCTCTAAACTCATTCAATTTACCTGGGGGTAATTTGGTATTTACAAAAAAATCCCATTGAAATTCACACATGTGCATTGTTTCTGCAGCTTCCCGAGGGAAGATAGTGATTTTTTTAATACATAAAATTATCAGAATATAATATCTTTGGAAACCTATTAAGAGATGTTGTTTATGAATGATTAATTTAGGAATATATCTTAGCTATACTGCCTTACTTATACTGCTACTTGTAGTAGCTTTTGGCAAAACGCCACTAACCAAAAGAAAAAACCCAAACCCGAAACCTACTGCAATAAAACGTGTATCTTCTGCCTTCAGGCTGACAGGAGGCCATTTTCTTCAATTCTTTTTCCTCCTGAAAATAAGGCTTTCCTTCCTGTAAATAACTGTTTATTCTGCTATATATACTTTACGATTCTGTGCCAAATGAACACCATAGCTGTAAAACACTCATCTCTAAAACCAGATTGTCTTCCAGAAACAGTTAATGTTTAGAGTTTCCTCGTTGCTTTTAGAGCATACTAAAGTCACATCAAATTATGGAAGGGACACTGTTATCAGCAACACATTCTCCTGCTGTGTAACCCAGGGCTGTGATGCCTGTAGCTCAGTAATAACTTGATTGCTTCACGTAAAGGAAAGGAGACTCCACCTTAGCTGGGTGCTATCCCCTGTGCATTTGTGCAAATTAGCAGACCTTGGAGCTTCCAGTATTTCTGCCATCTCCAAAGACAGAATTATGGAGATACCTGTCTGCTCCTGTGCACTTGAGTAAACTCTGGCTTTCTGATTTTAGCACTGAGATACAACACCAGCCTTCCAAAGTGGTAATACCTGAGCAATATGCAGGAGCCCTAGGGACTGGTTCACCAAACTGACCCATTTTCAGCTTAGACTGTACTAAGTGGTTGATAAGAAAGGGGCAGCCTCTATTTCAGTCTCCCTGTCCCCCTCCAGAGCTTCACAGAATGTGATGTTTGCATTTTATTCAAGAGAAGTCTTTCCCTTGCTTGCTGAAAGAGCTGTTCTTAGCAGGGATGTGCAGATGAAGCAGCGTAAGCATAGAACATGTCAGCTCATTGCCTGTGAATTTGGTATCGGAACATCCCGGACTGCTCAAAGCAAGTGAAAGTTTACTTGTGTGCACATTCATGTACATGTATAACATCCATACAGCTACAACAAAAATAGTATTGGTTATTTTTAATTGTATTTTGATGTTTGGAATCTTCACAGTTAAATTTTTTTCAAGTTTCCCTTGACCATATGAGCAAAAACAATTGAGCAGAACCACTGTCTTAACCACTCATTCTTTCGGGTTAAATGCAGTGGCTCAGTTCATCTTGTGAAAAAGAGAAACTAAGCAAAGAACAATTCTAGCCAAACAAACTCCCAGCTTTCCAGCTGGCCTTAGTCCCACCTTTCTGCCTGTCTTTTCACTGTGCCAGTGACCTGACCAAATCTCTCTGCAGGGGAAGAAGCATTCATTACAATATGTTCTGTGGGATTTCTCTTTGCAGATTCCTTGGCCAGCAGATTCTGCTGATATATATATAACTGTTCTAACTGGAAGAGTTGTTCTTTGTGAAATAGCACAACCCAAAAAAACTTTATTCTTTTGCATCCTTTTGTCTCCCCAGCCTGTTTGTCCACCAGAAAATCCGAAGCTGTACCTCTAGAAAGCCCAAGGGGGAATAAACTAAGCCAGGATCAACCTGACTCTTCATGCTAAGGACATCTCTTAAATACTGTATTTGAGACAGTGGTCACACAGTATCACAACTCTATACTAGAATTGCTCACTCTCTCTAAAACAGTGATTTCAAGTGTAAGTTAGGATAAAGTCCTTTAAAGAGTTTAAGGCAAGTGATGCTTACAGTTTCCTTCATGTTTGAACTATGAAAAATTAGTCCCAAACTAATGTGGTTAGAGCACGTTTTGTATTTATAAACGGAAGTTTATTTGTATTTTTGTGGCATAAATTACAGAAAAAAACATAAGAGACATCACTTTAGTTAAATGTTTGCTTGAAAACACCTGTAGCTGTTGAGTTAAACTGTTCTTGTCACTCATCAGAAACATTTTCTATCTGTAAGAAACCTTTCTTGGTCTCTTAATGGCTTTTATTGCCTTACTTTTCTGGTTTTGAGCATTGACAAAACTTTGAAGAAAATCCCTGGTTAGCTGCACTTGTGGTGCATAGATTGAATATACAGAGCTGTGTTGTGCTTGCAAACCAGATTTTTTTGAGAGGAAGGTACCTGGAAACTCTGCCCCAGTGCACTCTGACCCTTTATGGTGGCATAAAAACCTGAGCCAGCAGTTGGTACCCTGGACATATTTGAACAGATGTAGGGAGGACATTTAGCTTGTGGGACCTAACTAGTCTGAAAAAAAATCCTCTGAGTTGCATATAGTATAATACAATACTTCTTGAGCACCTACTGCTTTGATTTATTAATCTGTTTTTGTTCTGCAGGACTGCTTAGAAATGTCAGCATAACCTTTAAGTTTTGTAAGTGATCAAGTCTAACAAAACACTGTTAGAGTAATCCAAAAGTGAAAGAGGAAAAAGCATTACAGCTTAGTGGTCTTGACAAGTTAGGAAAACCAGAACAACTTTACAAATTAAAATTGCTGTACTAAGGGGAGATTTATTCTGAGAGTCAAACGATCTTTCACATTTGTGTGTTTCCAATTAAAAACCTCCAGTTTCCAACTTTTATTTCCAATTAGAAATTGGTCTGGGATTTGCCAGGCAAATTAGGCTTTTTTTAAAATGCTTACATTCACCAGCAACTGAGATTCAATTCTTCCTTTCCCAAGGATTCTCAGTTCAGTGTACCAGTGAGTGAGATAGCAGCCACCGACATGTAATAATCCCTCAGCTGACAATCAGGCTACAATGGAACTCACACAGTCAGCCAGCACCTGTTGTTAAGGCTGGCCCATCAGATAATCTTTGGGAATGATCATACCTTGCCAAATAAATGATCGAGTAGTTTCATTGGTTCTCCAGAGACTTGTTTTGTTCAAGGATTCCAAAACATGCTGGTCAAAATATTGACATGCACTTGAGGGCAAGACAGCATTATTCTTCTGGAGAGTCCTAGGACATGACACTAAAAGGGCACTTTCTGTGGAATCAAAAAAACATTCCTAAAAATCAGACTTCTTGCTTTTGGAAAGACAGCTGTTCAAAGAGAAAGTCTGGTTTTTGTTTTTTTTTTTTTTTTTTAAATAAATCTTTCAAGACAGCTTTTCAAGACAGCTTTTCAAGACAGCTTTTCAAGACCTTGGTCATTGTTTGCAAAGTTAAACACTAAGCTCTGTTTTGTGCCCTGTGGTTTTGCTGGACATTGTTTAGCCATATTAATGTGTTGTAGAGAACACCAAATGGATATACTATTCTCATGTTTATTCCTGTTGCCTTCACTGGCATCTTAGGTTTACTACATGCAATAAGGACAATATTTTGGAAACACTCTTTCATACTTAATCACTAAGAAGATTCCCACTTTTAATCTTTTGAGAAACAAGTAAGCCTCATGCATTACATTTTCTTAAATATAAATAAAAACTAGACAAATGACTGATCTTGAACTCTTAGACCAAAGGTTGAAGGAAAAATAACTGCCATACTATTTTCAGCTGACTGCGTGTTTTACAAACTTTTCCCAGTATCTGCCTTATGAGCAATATTTATGAACAAGAATGTAATGACCAAAAAAACACCACCAGTGTGCAAAATAAGTGAAGAGAGGCAGTTTCACACCTTTGAAAACAGGCAAAGGACAAATAAACCTGAGTTCAGAGGTGTGGGAAGGGAGACAAATCTCTTACCTGGATGGCTTTTTGACAGGAATGTATCAGCTCTGTTTTTGCTCATTGGAATGAATGAAAGTCTTCAGTCAGGCCTTGCTCTATTTGCATAAAGGATAATCATTAGCTAAATACTCCTCAAGGTAAGAATGGGTGGTTATGGAATTTTGATCTTGCTGCTTGGTAGTGTGTTGTCACTTGTATTGCTCTGTAAACTTGTATATATATGTAGCACTAGCTGAGGATTTGAGTTTAAATAATACTTAAGATTATTTATTAACTAACACTGATCCAAAAATTATGCTGAGTTCAGGCTGACACATCTCTGACCTTTGAAGCTATTTGTCGTCTGAGATTTGATCTGGTTTATGCATCCTCATGTGTCATTAGCTTTTGGTTTTACATATTCAAGGTGCATGAAGAGAACTTCAGTCTTGCTTGGGATTTATGCCCTTTGCAGGCTGGAATAAGTACTGTCCTGCTCAGAGCATAGGATGGGACTGCTGGAGGTCAGAGTTCCATTCCTACATGTCAGCACATTCAGATCACAAGATCTGTTGCTTCTGTGTAAACCAAAGACTGTGAAATGTAGGCAAATCACAGGACAAAGACTGACTTCCTGTTCATTCTTCTGAGGTATATAAATGACAAAGTCTCCTCTCAGTTACCTTAGCTTATAAGTTCTAAAAGTACTGCCTTTCTGTGTCAAATGCTCAACTGTGCAACAGTGGTAATTGGCCAAAATAACCAAAAGATGTTACAGTGAAACACCTATCTCTAAGAATAGGAACTATATTAGAAAAGTTATAACCATTGATTGGTAATTTTGAGTTTACAGCTGATTTTCCTTTGTGTGGCTTACTGTCTATCCTTATGAACAGACACACAATCTTAACTGGGTTAAGAACAGCAAAAGGTTAAAAGCAAAATCAAACAGAGGTATTTATGAAAGAAATGTTAGAAAGAGATAAAATGTATTTGACCTTGTTGACAAAATTGAGGATTTTAGATTATTTCAGAAAAATTCATGACATTACTACATACAATTCATATCTAGTAACCTAAGTATGTACTTTAAAAAATAATGCTAAATTAGTCACACAGGGAAGGTTAATCTTAGAACCATAAAATTGTAGTTAAAATTGTTTGTTTATGGGCCACAACCAGTAACATCAAATCTTCAAAAGTGCATAGTCCAAATATAATAACCTTGTTCGTCCTTCCGTGCAAGTGTCTGAAGTTCATAAATTCAGTGAATTCAAAATCTTAAGCCTAGTGCCTGCATTATTTAAAATGCCCTCAAGCCTCAATTTGTCTGTAATGTACCTTGATACCATAGTGACCAGGTGTTTGCTTAAAAAGCATTCATTTGGTCACTATTTAATAGGAAAGATGGGCACACTGAAAGTAATCATCCACTCTTTTCAAATCCCGTATGTGCTCCACCCAGCATTCCTTCTCTAACTGTGGCAAGTGTCCAGTGCAGCTTGAAATGACGTATATATAGGGAAAGTCATGTTTTGTTTTGGCTTTTTTTTTAATTAAAAAATCCTAAGTAGTCTGTGCTGCAGGCAAAACTCTGAGATCTGCAAAGTTCAGTGTACATTTATGTATTCGAGACTGAGTAAATAAAATCTCCTTCACTATGCATCCCTCTGTCTCTGTAGTTTCCCACTACAAACACAGAACCAATGGATTAGCACTTACCGAAGGCACAGAGTAGCTGCAGTAGTTCCACAACAGTTTTTCTCTCAGCACTCAGTAGCACAGTACCTCAGGAGCACAGCTTTCTGGAAGAGCAGATTAGAAGTTGTGTCATGATACAGTTTAGGTCTTTCCAATTGATTATCAGTCCAATGGTGTTTACAGTGAGATAACATAAATAAATAGTAGTACTGGAGAAATCTTTGTCCTGTCGTGGGTAATCACAGGTAAAACATAAACTTTAAATTATCAGATTACAGGAGCTACTGGTAGTCTCTGACTTCTTACTCATCCCTACTGTTTGGCTTTAATAAAACTTGTTGTACTATGTGGACCTCAAAGAGGAGTGGCTTATCTTTCAACAGTTTCATGGATTTTGAATACTTACTTCAGGTAGCTGAAAAATTGCTCCATTGTGTTAGATGAGATTAGAGCAGGCGGTGTATGGAACTGCCCTTACACTCAGTTGTCCATGATTGTTAATTAAGTCCTTTGAAAAAGGATTTGTATTAAAATAAATTGTGAAAGAGGGTTAGCTAATAAATCTTACATTTAGGAAGACTTTACATGCCATCAACTGACACTGAGTGTAAAATGTCTGAGCTTTTCAGCCTCATAAACAAAACTGCTAGTTGTTTCATCCCTGAACAGCCAGAACTGTGGAACCGAAGCCTGCATAATGAAGAGTATGAACATTGCTACTGGTATTTGTAAATCTTAGAGGCAAATTTAGTGTAGCAAGGATAGTCTCTCTTAACAAAGATGTAAACATGAAGGAGTGATTATAACAGAACTGTTGAAATGAAAACAGTAAGTCAAGTATGTACTATGGAGGCTCACTACTGAAGGTGCAGTAGTAATCTGTGTGCTTGAATTAGAATGCTGCTTGTGTACAGAGAACAGTTCAGCTGCTGCTTGGAAAGAGAAGTCCACTGCCTGCTTTCCCAGGCAGTGCCAAAAGGAGTTATGTGCTTGAAGCAAGCTAGTGTTAGTATTTGGTCATAATTTAGCTTCCTTGTGCATCTGAAAGGTCACCCTTCAGTCTTAATTATGGATTTCGTTGTCCTGTCCCTTCTATTCAAAACTTTTGCGTATAGATTATTATTATTTGGAGTTCTGTCATCAAAGACAGCATAAAACCACAATGAATATTTTACTTGTAGCAAAGTTTATGCTGCAGGATCATTTTCATACATCAAATTTCATCAGAAAGGTGTCCTCTAGCAGCCCATCTCACATACCATGACCGAACCTTTATTTCAGTCACTTGCAGAGCCTTTAAATTTATAGTGAAGAAGCAACCAAAAAGCATTTTCTGCTTCTGAATTCGTCTTACCATTATTTATTAGTTCTCTTTGCAAAAGAATGCAAACATCACATTTCAACAAGGGATCACAGGGTCTCACAACACTCTGAATTGTACATGCCTAGCTGATCTGATTGACCATGCTCACATGTCTAGAGAGGCCAGATACTAAATAAAATAGCTTATGCTTTTGCATAAATTGCTTCTATACACTGTTTCCCATTTTACATCTTGACTTGGTTTTAAAGGAGGAGGAGGAGGGTGTGGGGGGAGAAGAGATGCAACAGTCTAACCATATTTTCCGAGGCCAACTCACCTCGGCACAGGAAGCTGTTGGTGCTTTGTCTGCCTCTCTCTTTCTCTCTCTTCCCCCCACACACAGCACGCTCATTGCTGAAAGAAGGACTATGCTCACAAAAGCAGGCTGGGTAAGAAATGGAAAATGACAGGCCGTGATTAGCATCGGCTTGAAAACATCCATTGTTTGCTCGCACTTCTGTGCCTGTGAATTTTAGCCAGATCACAGCAAGGATTTTGTGAGTTGCTTTGCAGGGTGAAGCTCGAATAATGCTGATTTCAAAGAGGAAAGAAGCTTATTAAGATGCTGCATAAATCAAAGTCAATTCTATTTTTGTGTTTTTAAAAAAATAGGAAGATTCGGCTGAATGCGCAGCCTCCTGGCTGGCCTGTGGAAGAGGCAGTGATTTCCAGCAAATAACAGATGATGCATTCTCCATTTTCGAAGCCAGCTCGTTCCTAAGCCACAAAGATTCGCACCCGTCCTTTTTGCGCATGTACCGCGCTGACTGGTTGTGTGGATGGATTAAGTGTGACAAGCTGTGACATCAGCAAGGGCTGGATGCTGCCTGGCCGTGTGGTTTTGCAATGCATCCTCCCATTGCTGCCGGGCTGACTCATTCACGTTGTAGGGTGAGTGAATTACGCATGGTGCGAGCCAGCACAGACCGAAGTCTTCGGCGTTGCACTTCCGTGCAGAAGCTGTGCCATAGTTGTAAAGCAGGCAGGTTTTCAGTCCCCGCTTACATAGATGTTATAGCTGAGGAGCAAGCGCAGAAAAACATTAAAGCTAATAAATGAACACAGAAGTTCTTTAGTTGTGAGTGCAGTAGGTAGTCTTTGGCCTTTGAAAAAGCCTCTGAATTAGGTTTTTGGTCAGCAAAGCGTGTGTAAAAAGCACGGGATGTGTTTTGCCTGGGGACCACCAGGGAGGAAGAGTCAGTCTTCATTGGCCAGCAAAAGATCAAGTGATCGTGGTTATTTTGGGAAAAGGGGGTTTCATGGAGACGAGCTGATTTACTTTACCTGATCATAGGAAGCAAGAGCAAGTGGGGCAAGAACATGGTATAAGCAGCTCGTGTGAATGTGTAGTATATTGTTAGTTTCCTGTCAATTCAAAAGGGAGAAGTGTTGTTTATTAATAACCCAGGAGCTTACTGGTTACTTAGTTATTTATTAATGATCTTGTACTTAAACCTGAAATACCAGATAAGTAGGATTTTTGGTTGACATTGAGGAAACCTGTCGAGAACTACTGAGAATTCAGCCTCTTGAAAGGTGAATGCTAGTAAGGGCTATTCTGCCCTCCATATGCTCTAATGTGTCATTTCCACAGTGCTCACTGTCCCTTAGGATCTGCTTTTAAGGTCCAGAGGTTTTTTAAGTACTCAGCAGAACAAGAAGCTTACGTAGACAATTAGTGGGTTTGGAGCAAACAGGGTATTTGTAACAGCATGGACTTTAAACTGGCTTCATTCATTACTCTTAGTTGCAAAAAAAAACCCAAGGAGGCAGGATCCTTTTGTATTGTAAGAGGTACTCGGAGGGCAACAAGTTGCTGTCTTGGAAAAAATAAACTTGCTGACATTTTCTGTCCAAAGGTTTTGACCTTCATCTTGTAGATGCTTATGTGCTTCTCTGTCCATTCAACAACCTATTCTCCTGGCTGAAAAATGAGATGGGTACTTCTGAAGACAGTTCCCTCTGGAGAACATAGGAGAAGCAAGAATTTGAACTGATGTAGATTATTATTATTGTGGGAACATTTGGGAAGTTTATTACTGTTTGTTTCCAGTGAGCATCTTGGCTTTGGAGCTCCTCTCCAGCTTAGGTGAGCACTTGTGCCTGTTCTGGAGTTTGACATCATAGATTCTGGAAAGGTGGTAAGCAAATCCTTGGGACACTGTATCCAGGGATGCTCCTCATAGTGGTCACTTACTGCAAGAACTGTTTTCACTTCATTTAGTCTTGAGAGGTGGAATTAAGTTATCATGCATATTTACACTCAACAGAGCAACAGTGACTGTGTTACCATTGGCCCACATCCTGGAGTTGAACACCATGGACAAGAGAGTGTATGTTTGCAGGAACCCCCTTACAAGGGCAGACAAAGGTGGTCTAAGCATCTCTGTTGAATGAACAGTGGTATGTAAGAATATCACTATCTCAGATGCCATAGCAGGGTAGTATCTTGGGCTGCACTTCCACTACTCTAAGATTGTAACACAGAAAACCCTCTGTGGAGCAGGGTCTTTTTTAAGCCACTTTTTTAAGTGTCTCCCTCATGGAGTCCACCTTCCAAGTCTGAGGTTTTGCCAATAGCCTGCTGAAAAATTTTACTTACCCTGCAGGTGTCAGTTGCACCTCTCCCCTGCCAACACTTTCTGCCAGTTTTCTGTCTCTAGTTCTTGGCTACATTTGCAACTAAGCGAACAATCTTTCCAAGCAGAAGCTCCCAAAAGAGGATGTAAGCAGTCTTGGTTCCCATGGGAGTGGTGTTAGCCAGCCACTATGGCCTGTCTACCAGAAGAGAGGCTGTTCTCAAACACTGGTGCAAGCAGGCTAGATTATGTTAGCTTTTGATGTGTGTGGTAACTTGTGTTCACCAGAAATTCAAAAAGGAGACACACCAGCTGAGTTAGATTGTCAGGATGAGAAAGGTACTACTCCAGTATACAGATCCTTCCTGGTCATTTCAATCCTGGGCTGTCTTCAACAGAACAGCTCTGTTGGTGGTAACGCTACATGTTACCTTTGAGTTCCTAAACAGGCTGTGATCTACTGACAGGGGTAAACGACAGGCTTCAATCCCAGGAAATTTTCTTCGGTACATTATAACAAAGGTATAATATAAAGTTATCCTGACATGTTATCAGAGATTCAGTACTTGACTGAGGATCACCTAGAATGGAAACACTTCCTGCCTGTGTTTTTCTTGCTCACTTCTCTGTAGATGAGATATTTGGTTCAATGGCTTTGTGTGCACATGTCTTCCAGGGCATGCAGCTGTACCCCTGGACAGGATGAACCTGGGGTGGAAGAGAAGCAGCAGATGCTGGGCACAGGAGGGGAGCTATAGCTGTGGTCTAAGGAGTAATATCCACAGTGTGCTAACTGGAGCAGGTCAGGCTGTCATGGAAGGTGTTGACAGCTACAGCTAGCTTACCCCTGCCCTCCCAAGAAATTAAGTTTGTGAATGGGAGTAGGCTGAAAGTGGCATGCATAAGAAGCACAACATGATTATCTTACAGCAACTATGCCCCTGAAAAGGAACTACTGGAAAAACCTTACTGCAGTAATAGGAGGCAGTGAAAAGCTGTTAACATGGGCCTGTAGCCTTTGATTCAGCAAGGATTGCCCACAAAGCAAGCCTTTCCAAGGAAGAGAGAACAAGATTTTATGACAACCAGTGGTCAGCCCTCTGTACTCATCACTGCTCCTCGTATTCACAGCATCATTGTTGCTTCCAAGAGGCAGCACATA